GGGGTTGTGTGAGTGAATGAAGAGAGGTTAAGGATTCAGTTGACTGATGTTAAGTCGTTTCTTTCCATGGTCGTGGAGTGATGCAAACTAGGAAACGAATTGAATTTGCAGAAGTGGAAGTGGTGGAGCACTTCCCCACAAGTCTTTTGGCAACCTCAGCTTGGAGGAGCCTCAAACTCTGGAAGGAGGATGCCGGGGACAATCTCGTCAAACTAATCTCAATTCCATGCAAGAGTCTGATTTCTGAAGTCTTGGCTGGTGCAACATTCAGCTCCAAAGTGCCTCGTCTTGTCCTCTCCCAGTTCCAAGCCAACAAATCAATTCTGAAAACATCTGAAAACTGATTCTCCCCATTTATATAGCATTACTCTAAATGCTCTGAAGCGTTCAAAAGAGAAGAATTGGACAAGTATGACAAATACCAAAGTAAGGAAGTAAAATAAATGTATACTAGAAACTGAACTTACCCTCATCACGTATGGCTCATGACCAACGTCTTTGTATCAAATCTTAGCTTTGGCGCCCTCCGTCCTTCCTGGCCTTGGCACGCCAGAAGTGCCAAAGGCCACCCTCGAATCGAAGTTGTCATTCGTTCTCCAATTCATCAGCCGCAGCGCCAAGCACCCGAGCAGTGCCAAGCGCCATCTGCGACTACGGCGATGCACCATGGAGCGATGTTCACCAAGCACGGTCAGCAACCAACTCCCTTTGAGCCCTGACAACGCCTCAACGAGAAGAATCAACCATCGAACCTCGTCAGTTTGACTCCAAAGCTGTTTGAACATGTGAGCTCATGTGGCGCCACAAGGGTCAGCTAACAGTCAGTAGTCTCTGAGTCCAGTCTCCGCAGTCCGCAGCCATCGTCCTGCATCTCGTGGAGGACCTCTCGTGCGGCTGCGCCCTCTCGGAGCCGCGCGCAGGACCACAGGGCGCTCGCCAACTCTCGGGGCGAGAAACGCTGCCGGGCCAACCTCCAGCGAGCCGCTGGGCACGGTCAAAAGGCGCGCTGCGGTGGAGAATAAAGTGGAGTTGTGGGACTAGAGCGGCCAACTGTGGTGGGAATGATGTTGGGAAGAGACCTTGACTCAGAAGTATCCTGGGTCTTACTTCATCCTTGCTGTACTTATTGGACTTCTTGCCTTGCTGACTGTGGAGTAACGCTCCTAAAGGGAGATATAACATTGACCATGTCCCCCCTGGGAGACTGTTGTTTGCAAAGGGTACCTCTTCCACTGGAAATAGCGAGGTTCATGTCAGTTGAGCGTGTTAGGTGTGTCGAACGATGCTGCCTGAAACTGGGCAAACACACCAACGTGTGGGGATCATTGGGGATCTAAGCTTTTAGTTTTCGACATCTGAAGGATTGCTACCTCAGCCTCAAGCACTTCCTCGATACATCTATTTACAGAATCCACATTTGGAGGACTCTACAAGAACTGCCGAATAACAATTCATTGGTGTGGGGCCAGTTCCTCCGTTCCTTTCCATATCCATCCTGTCCATCTCCTTCCTTCGCGATGTTCGAATGTTCGGAGCTTTGACCACCAAGAAATACCAAGCTTTGACTAGCAGCTGGCGATTTGGAGAATGTGTCGAGTCCTTTGGCTCTATCATTGCTTGAGCCCATGAGCTTGGACCAGGAGGAAGCGGGCTTTGAGGTATGACTCCACATCTGCATTTCCGTCGTAGACCCTGCTTCCTCCACATCCCTGCTCATTGGTTCTTCTGATACGGCTGTGGGTCAACACCCGGCACCCTGCTGCTTGACCCAGGTCAAATGAACTGATCCCTTTATAAGGAATGTCAACCTCCCATGATTTGGTGAGGTAGGTGCCAGTTCCTCACAGCCAAATATCGAGGGCTGCACCTGCCGACTGCCTTCCACCATCGACCCGGAGGGGCACCTCTGGAGGACGTCTGGAAGAAGCGAGCGGGGCACCTAGAGAAGAAAGTCCTAACTGTTATTGGTGTTTGATCTGTTTCTCGACCTCACTGACGATGTTTGGATATGTTTGGACCCTTAGGGTCTATATTACTTTTAATTGTGTTCATTTCTGCCTATATATTTATCTTATCTTTTTTTGGGCGGTGATTGAGCATCTTCTCATGTGAGACACATCTATAGATGACTTACCGCTGTGGTCACCTGCTGCTTTGTGGAAATCTATGGAATTCTGACAGCCCACTTGTAGGAAATGTCCACCCTCCAAGGACAACCCCGAAAGGTTCAGGTCTTACTGGAGCTGATATGCTTCCACATGAATTCTCTCTTAGGAGAGATTGTTTCAAAATTACAATTGGCATGCCAAAACACCTTTTGCATCCTAACCGTTCCCCACAAAGCGCACGCTGGAGAAACATGTGGAGGTGGAGGAGGTGACATACAAGTCGATGTGAGGAACTCGATCGGATCTCACTGGTCTTCGCCTGGCCTGGCTGGTCTTCGTCTCTGCGAGATGACCACAACGGTGGAGCAAAGCTGAGAGGTGAAGACCTGGCGGACCAGGATGCCGAGATGATCCAGCATGTGGCTGAATTCATTGGCTTTATTGGAGATTGCTTATCATAGGTCATCCAAAAAGCTCACAGGTTCTTTCTAACAGTTCGGCCTGAGCCTTTCTTTGTGAAGTCTTGTCTCTGAGACATGGCTGACGGCCACTTATTGCACAGTTTGTTGTCATTGAATCTAAGGGCCAATGCTTGGAGGACAAGGAGAGCATCGGAGACCTAAACTTCCAGAACATCTCGGAACCTTTACCCAAAGTTCACTTGGTAGGCATATAAATTGCATATCAATATATTTGCATGAAAGTCCACAAATCACTCGGAGAAAAAAGACAATTAGACTCAAGTTGTTTTATTCTCCCCATATTGAAATCACATCGACACCTACACTTCCTGGAATCATCCTGATGGAGTTTGCCACCTGGTTGATTCGGAAACTGGCCATCCAAGGGGCCATGCCATACACTTCCGTGATGATTCCAGGGAGTGTATACCCACTCACCTTGGCGCCCTGAAATCTCGCTTCAATGCTTCGCCAGCAGCACGATCCATCTGCGTTCCATGTTGCTCATAGAGCCGAACCAGTGCCTGGCTGAGCTGCTCATGGATTCTTCCAGCAACTCAAGCCCCTCCTGTTTCCCCACAATCTCCGGTGTTCAGAACCAGAGTGTTCCGATGTGTTTTGACACGATCCATCTGCTTTTGACGTTCAACCCCCACAATCCCCAGATATCCTTCCACTGTTCAGAGCCCAAGCCTGAGGCTTTCGTGTCCTTTCCCATCTTTCTACACCTTTCGCCTGGTGCAACTCATAGGCTTTATGACTTCTGATGTCATTGAACTATAATGGATGACACTGTGTTTGCCTAGTCCACTGATGTCCAAGCTGGGACATGTAAGCATGTGTAAGCATGCAGCACTTGGGCCATGCAGCGTTGCATCTTGTCATCGGGTTCGTTCAGACCTTCCGAAACAAAGTATCAACCAAAGGCAATCTCATCTAGGACATAGGAAATGCACACCAGGCATCTACTAGTAGGATCGACCAGAACCCCCCAAAGCAAGCAAAGCAAGCAAAGCAAGCAAAGCAAGAACACCCCGAAATCCCCAAGGACATCATGTCATGCACACTCCAAGAAGGCCCCCAACAAAACCTGTTACACCGAGTTGCACCGACAACCAGCTGACACCTGGAGGCTCTTGGAGTGGGTGATCTTGGCAGTGAGCTGACGTGCAGTCAAAGACGTCAGCGTCATCTGCGGAGGCCAGGTCAGGGTCAAGGTCTCTGTAGGTCTGTAGGTCTGGTAGTTCTCCAAATGGGGAGCACAGGGAGGTTAAGTTTAAAGATCCATGCAAAAGGGAAACATACTGAACTTGAGAAGTGCTTGGGGGTTGCACCTACTTGGATAAATGCTGGTTCAATGTAAGCTGCTTGAACAAAATGACATGCATCACTCCACCACCAAATGGGTTGAGATCATGTTACTTTACAAAGGACCTGACCAAACACATGGCACAGCAAACCGCCAGTTGGATCATCTAAGAGCCTTTGCACACGTAACACACAGAGCTGATCCCCAGGTCCCAGGTCGATTCTCAAGGAACCTTTTACATCTGACTGGAGATCACTGGACCGGACGGGTCTTTAGTGGAAGAAATATCCATCTCTCAAAAGGATCCGAAACGGTGGAAGGATGTTAAAGGTTATCCACTGACGGAGTATGGCAGCCACGGCATTCTTGTCTTGAAGCTACACCAATTTCATAGTGGCATCGAAAACTAGGGACTTACCTGCGGGCACAATGTACCAAGGTATGTTCCAAAGGGCCTCATAGTGCGGCTGCACGGTGTGTGCGTCATGCGCACCATGCGCGGGCACACAGCATCCTCTGGATAATGCATCACTTGGCGGGATGTTGTTCAGTTTTCAGTGCCAGGGTGATAAGCTCTAGAACATGGGCTTTGGTGTGCCTATACACATTCACAAAAATAACTGTTGCGTGTTGTCTCTGAAAACAAATACTGGCATGCAAACAAAATAACACATATTTCACAACTATACAGTTTGGAAGTGTCTGGCAGGAAGTTGGACGCTGTGATCATGTCCCAGCTGCAGCCTGAACATCAATCCCTAAATCACTGTGTGGAACACTTTGTGTTGTCATTGGTGCACTGTTTCCCAAGCTATCTTTAATTTGTTAGCGACAGGATTGTCTCAGCATTCTGCTAATACTAAAAGGCCATTGGCCTGTCAAGCTTGAGCCATTTCACCCCATTTTTTGCGTGGATGATGGGAAAGGGAACCAGCAAAAAGCATTGGGCAGCGGGAACACTCGGCCAAAACAGCAGCTCCAACAACACACCCACAGAGAGCCGGCCCAGATCATCCCAGTCTGAAGCCAATCCTGATCAGTTCATGCGACCTTCCAATGCGTGACCTACGGATGGAGTCACCGTGGTCAGTGAAATTTACCATACCTTCCCATCTCGCGGAGGGAGTGAAATTGGAGAATCTCCTGTCTTTATGGGAAAGGCACCGGTCTTCGGTTCAAGCACCTGTTGGAGACTTGCGGAGCACCGAACCCCGGACTGAAATAGGCCCTCCACCAAGACGTCGGTAATATATATATATATATAGATGAACATCCTCAGTGACTGGTTGAGTCCTTTAGCTCTAAAATTCCCAAGGACTTCAATCAGCCTTCCAAACAGTCACCGTTCTGAGACACACCACACCACCCTGACTTCCGATTTCATCACCTGCCGGCCGCTTTTTCGGACATCCGCTGGTCTTGTCTCATCCGGCGTGGGGCAGGGCCCGCTCCTGAAGACCAAACAGGGGATGATGGTCATCCTGGAGTTTGAAAGAAAACATCGGTCACGAACTCGGACTACCAACAAACATGCGAATGGAAACAAGACATGTGATATTGGATGAATATGGTGCTTCTCACAAGGCTTACATTTATTGGCAAGTTCTATTTTGGTCTTGGGCAACTGGGCGACCGTCAGGACAACTGCCTTCCCTCCAGGTTCCCTCAGGACGACCCACTGTCGAATGGTTTTGCAACATGCTCGAGTAGCATGGAAGGAATATGAAGAACTGTTTTGTTTCTCAGCCGATTGATGCAAGTAAACGCACGTATAAGTTAGTCAAATGGCTCTGTTATTGACTTTGGCAATCCAACTGAATCGCTTGCCGGACAAGCAGGCAAAGGTTATAGTTATAAATAGATTATAAATCTGAAGTATAGCTTTTTCGAGGAGGGAAGCCAAAATGTCAAGCACTCTTCTACGAACATGCCAGACCCCAAGTATATC